CCTGCACTGCCTGTCCGATTTTCTCCCAGTTGGCGCGTTCGTATGCTCTTCTGGGCTTGGGGTCGGCCGCACGGTCTGGCCGGAGCGACCATTCCGAGTAGGTCGCGCGGTGGTCCGATCCATAGTTGTCGTGGTACAGGTGGCACTTGATCAGTCTCTCACGGGAGTCGGTCACCGTCAGGTCGATGGTGGAGGTCTTCCCTGGCCTGCTTAAAGACCAGTAGGTCGGTGCTCCCCGGGGAAGGCACCATTGGAGCCTGTTTGCCTGGAAGAAACTGACCAGTTCCTCTGCGTGTTCTATAAAAGCGTGGTAGACCCCTCCGTTGCTCCAGGCTGGGTGGTGTCGATTGAAGTCTCCCGCGAGGATGAGCACCGTCGGTTTATCGGAGCGCTCTCTTGCCTGCCGGATGGTCGACTGGATCTCGTCCAACATTGGCTGTATGGAGACCTCCTCGGCTGATTGATAGAGTCCAAACGGTGGGATGTACACTGAGAAGAGCAGGATCTGGGTGGCGGTGGTCCACATTCTGACGGCTGTGACGTCTGGGTGGTTGCATTTCATTTGGCGGTGCACAGACGTGGAGATCCTCCTATTGACATACAATAAGCTTCGTTTCCGCGTGTTCTCCTCTTGGATGGTTGGTTGGTAGAGGCGCCAGGCGCTGTGGTTGACGTGCGTCTTGTACGCCGTAAGTGGCGGTTCTTGGACGAGCAAAACATCAAGATTCCATGTTTCCGTGTCATTGATCAGCGCCTCCATGCCCGCTCTCGATCTGTAGATGTTCAGTTGCAGTAAACGAAGGTTTGGTTCTGTCATTGCATGTGGGGTGGTTCAGCAGGGTTCTGGCAGTTTCTGTCTCCTGTTGGGTGGTCTCCGTCACAGTCCAAGCACCTCGCTCTTACTCCTGGAGGGCAGTTTCGTTGTTCATGTTCCCTTGCGCAGTGTCCGCACCTTGCCTTTTCTTTGCATGACCACGCTAGATGGCCGAAACCCTGACATCGGTGGCACCTCTTCCTCTTGACCTGATAGGGCTCGACGCTGCCGATGTATCGTTGTCCAACGATGAGGCCGTTGTTGACCATCCACTCCGCTGCCTCCGGCGAGTCGAACCAGATCCCCAGCGAGCCGTGGGTGCCTGGCAGTTTGTCCCTCCGTCGGAGCCATGCGATCTCTGTGATCCGATGGCCTTTGCCTGTCAAATCGTTGTCTTCCGCGATTTTGGCGATACTTTCCTTCTCCTCCTCCGGCAGTCTGAAGGTATTTGTCGGCGTTCTGTGCACCACGACCCCGAATCTCGGCTTGACGAGTTTGGTGTCGTTGCCTAGCTCATCGAGCCAGTCGGAGTTGGACCGCGCTGCATCCGCGGACCGTTGGTCTTTGAATCTGATCACATATCCAGTTTTCGCTGTTCCGATGCCTGCAACCTGTGCATCTTTGGTGGCGTTGGCGCTGAGGAGCGCAGATCTGATGTATGTGTTGGCGCTGTCCGTGGGAAGATACCTTCCGAAGCTGTTGATGTCATCAGTTCCGTCTTCCGGTGCACGACGCGTGCTGATCCGGACGCAGTTTGGTTCTTTTCTGGCCTGGGTGCTCCTAGGCTGCTGGACAGCGCTGTTGGGTCCCGGGTTGCCCGCACTCGCTGCGACTTCTGCCCATGTTCTCGCTGGTGGATTCGACGATAGGGCCTCGATTTGTGCCCTAAGGGCATGGATTTCTTCTTGAAGGCTGGAGTTTTGGCTCTTCAACGCCTCCTGCTCAACCTTGAGCTCTAGAAGGCCCGCTTTGGTGGATTCGATAACGTTGGTTTGGTGGCTGATTACATCTTTCAGGTCGTCGATGAGTCGTCTGATCTCCTGGTTTGTGACCCTCCCGCTGCCGTCTCCGGCGGCCACGGGTTCGGGGTTTGAGTTCGGTGTGTTTGTAGCATAAGAGTCATTCCTGCGACGTTTTCCTCGTCTCGCAGGCTGGCTGGGTTGGGTTAATGGTTGAAAGGTTTCGAATGAAAAGATTGAGGTTGTCGTTCCTTGCGTGTTTGGTGGTTCACGATCTCCCGTCGGTTCCGCCATCGGGCCGACGTTAGCTCCCGCTCGGCACACAACACCAACTTCCCAACACCAGTTTCCTCGTCAATATAGAGTATTTTCCACGCAAAACCAGCAACAATCGATCGATTTCGTTCAGTTCCATATAATGCTACCTGAATCTATGTGGAACTACAGTTGCACTCGAAATCGGCTTCTATATTCAGAACGTACAAACTTCTTCTCAAACCCTAAGTGCCAAGGCCGTTAGTGTAGTGCTTAACTAACCAAACTTGGTTAAATCATATAGTATGGAACCAAACCGTGATGAATCTTGTTGTATTAAAAGCAACAATGTAAATCACAACATGGCAGGGTTCGTAAGTAGGCAACTGCCTTCATAAGCTTCTGATATTTAGAGGCAAACAAGCTAGGTGCCACATTACTTGGCCCGCCCAAGGAGACCTCGTTGTCGTTTGATACTGTACGCGTCTACATTCCGCAGGCTGCATGCTAATACGTCAACGTCATGTTAGGTTCGTCGGTTCCACATCCCCTAACCAACCCTCCTGGCCAAGAAATATCGCGGCTTCACCTACAAAAACCCACTCCGCCACTTCAAAACCAACCTCTCTATCCCATCTCTGGACAAGCCGTTCCGGCCGAGCGATCAAGCCTAACACCCGTTTATTTCCTTAGTTTTACTAATTTCCTTGTGTTTTGCATCTCAAATGGCAATGTCCGACATACGGGTCTGGAAAAATAAAACTACCTCTGCTGAAGGAAACTTAAGAATCATATTGTAAATGAATTCACGCACGCCTTGCCAGCACGGAGAAAATCGTCGGTCCAGCCACCCTTCTTCCAAAATCTCCTGCCCCTGAAGTAGAGCTCTTCGTCCTGGGAGTCGTCCTTAGACAGGCGGACTGTGCTCGAGCAGACGCCGGTGGCAGAGGTATTCCCCCTTGCTGTTCAATGAGGTCGTATCAGTTTTCCAGGATATGACTCTTCCATCATCATCGCGTGATGTCACGACCTGGCTATCGGGAGAAAAAGCTAATGAAGTAACCATGGATATATGCGTGCGGTGGGTATCCTGAAAATCAGATCCTATATCCCAAATTGTAACAGTCCCGTCGTCACAGCCTGAGGCCACTTTACGACTATTAGGAGAGATGACTATTGCCGTAATCTCACCTGTACGGTGAATGACCTGTATCGTCTGACCGGTTGCCACGTCCCAAATTTGAGCGGTGCCGCCTTCACAACCTGAGGCCACTATTCGACCATCTGGTGAGAAGTTTACTGATACCACGCGTTTAGGATGACCTTTGTAATTTGTCGGCTTTGTGCCATCCTTAACGTCCCAGATTCTGATTTCATAATCGTCGTCATCGTTAGAGGAGACGAGCTTCTCGCTACTGGGGCAGAAGTCCATAACAGTCAATATACTTGAACTGACGTTAAAAACTTGGAGATTTTCGCCCATCCTGACATTCCAGATTCTGATAGTATCATCGTCAGAGCATGAGGCCAACATTTGGCTGTCTGGGGAGAAGATTATTGATCCAATGGTATCAGAATGCCCCTCGAGGGTCTGAAGGCCTTCTCCGGTCTTAGCGTCCCAGATTCTAATTCCATTAACCGGAATGAGGAAGGCTAGTAGCTGGCTGTCCGGAGAGAATACAAAAGGCCGTATAATATAGGGGTCGTATTTGAAGTTCCGAGCCTCTCTCCTGTCTCCGCAACCAACAAGCTGGCTATTTCATCTTGAACGGACCATGAGCAGATCGTCTGTTCATCAGGGGAGTAGAATAAACCCGGAGCTTCACTTATATCTTCCTGCAATTCTTTGCACCGTTTCTCTTTGATTATGTTTTCCATAGCAAGGTAGACGAGGGTGCTTGAGCTTGAACAGGAATAATAGAGTGCCTTCTGGGCGGATTGGCTTTTGCTGTTAAATCGGGATTTTTTTGTTGTTAGTCTAAGAGCAAAGTTTTTTTTGAGTAAGTGGGATTAGCCCCTTTTTATCCTTAGGTGGGGCTTAGGGTCCGGATATTTGCACCATAGGCCTTCGCTAGCTGCATCATCTTGGCGTATTACTAAGCATACCTTTCCTAATTGGGAAGTTATTTTTTAGTTATCGACACCATAGTGTATTACTAAGCATTTTGGGGGGGGGGGGAGAAAGGGGGAAGATATTTAACTAGTAGGCGTATGCAGTAAATAAATAAAATAAACGTGAGCTCGGTGGGGATCGAATCCGCGGCCTTTACGTGTAATTAGTTATATATTTATAGTATAGATATATAGTGGCGTCGTCCCTGTTATCGCTATATATTACTATATATCTATATAAGTTAACGATATAAAAAGGTACTTAAAAAAAGGTGATGTTCTCTTACTATTATAAGTAGCTTAGATTCCTGGCTCTCTACACGGATACTATATAGTATTTAAGAATATTAAGCTCTTTCTTATAGCGTATTTTGTTGTTATTACTCCGTAGTCTGTACGGGACACTATATTAATATACTCCCCCCTTCCCCAAATGCTTAGTAATACGCTATGGTGCAGATAGCTAAAAAAATAACTACCTAAATAGGTTTAACCTGCTTAGTAATACGCCAAGATGGTGCAGCTAGCGAAGGCCTATGGTGCAAATATCCGGACCCCTTTCTTAAATGCTATTCTGGGACATATGTGACTAGTGCTTAATCATCCTCACCTACGATTGGTACGGTATCTAAAAAATCTATATAATCGCGTTTCATCCATGATTGAAGTGGACTTTGCGTAGAATCTTCCAGATTTCAGTATTGTAAACAAAAATACAGGTTCTATAATTGGAAAATCATATACTCCACTATCTAACTATTGTACTGGTTTGGCTTGGCATGAGTTCCAAACAAAAACCAAAGAGTGTTGTTTGTGTCAAGGTGATTTTGCAGCACACTGTAGGAGCTGCACAATCGCCATTATAGCTGAATAAGGTCAACCTCCGAAAAGTCGGGAGGAGGCCGGCTAAAAATAGGCTGACACTTGATATCTAGCGTCTGGTACTCATTACTAATCCATATATGCTTTGTCAACCGCTGGGTGCGGAGGATTTCATCATAGCTCACACCTATGTTATCTTGGGGGATCCATATTGCCGGGCGTCTTGCTCGCAATGCTTCATGCCGAAATGCTCGTTGGACAAGCAGATTGCGTTCATCCGGAGTTAGATCTTCGAGCTCATCGTCGATACCAGAGAACCAAGTTTGGCTAGCTTCATGGGTAGCTAGAACCTGAGCCTCAGCGTCACGGCCTGGGTTTTGGGGTATACTTTTAGAGTCGGGTATAGTAGTCAGAGGGTGGATACTGGGTGATCCAACATTTGATGGTCGATTAGCCCGTGGTATCAGCTTCGGCGTTTTTGTCTGGGAGGCCACGTGGTTAAACTGCGGACGGGGCAATTCTTTGCGTCTCACACATAGTTCGATAGAGTCAATATTCTCCTCACCAGACCTTCCTTCTGTATGGCGCAGTCTGCAATCTTGTGTACGAGCAAATTCCTTGTCACGCTCGGTGGCCTCATCTTCAAGCGTAATAGGGAGGTAAAGCGAGAGGGGGCCAAAGGCTTTATTTAGAGAGTATTGGAAAAGGACAGTGAGGATAAGTGCAATGGTCATGCAGATACCTTGGCCTTTGCAGGCAACACCTCCCGTCTCGTCCCTAATAAGAAAGAATAGTCCAATCAGGCAGACCTCCATCACATATATTCCAGTAAAGAGCTGGTTTATAGCTCGGGGGAAGAAAAGGCCGCCAGTATCAAAGCGGAATCTCGTAACATAAAGGGTGTTGTAGCGATATACAATCGAGAAGAGACCAAAGGTAAGAATATTGAACACAATGATAAGGGGGGATATGATGCAATAAATGAACCCTATACAGACTGTTAGAAGCGCTAAAATGAACACCTTGTTTCTCGGGAAACACACCAATCGATGCAAGTGTTGTGTATATAGGAAAGAAAGTTCCCCACTGTACCTGGCTGAGACTCGTTGCTCGTGTCCATTTTTTTCTCGCAGTGTTATCCAGAATAGGCGCGAGTACAAACCAGCGTAGTAGAGTTAAAATCTGAAGTAAAGAACTCGCACTCACTGACATAGCCTGGAGAACCATGTAAGAGAAGAAATAATTACCTGCCTTAGGGATATTCTGGGCTAAAAGGTCAGGTATAGTTGGTAGATCCCTTAGAGAACTCAGAATGGTCGAAAAGCTAGAGGCAATAGAAACAACAAAAAACATCTGAATAAATAGAAAAGCAAAGTAGTAGTTCTGTACTTTTAGTTCGATATCTATACCTGTGTAGGCCCCTTGGTTTAGGGACAAGGTTCGGAGTACAAGGGGTAGAAGGGCCATTAAGATTGCGAGAAACACAGACGGTAAAATACCCTGAATTCCCGATAAAACCTGTGGTGGAAGCTCGTCGAGCCAGCTTAGCCACGTAAAATATCTTGCCAGATAAGATAACTGTGATAGTAGACCGGTAAATGCCACAGGAAACGCCCAGCTTATAGCCATAGCTGCTACGACGGCTGTAACACCAAATATTCTAATATAGCGACCCCACCAGTTGATAGATATATTATTCCAAATCACGTCGTCCGGGGAGATTTCTACTATGCGGGGTGTCATTCGCTTTGGGATATGGTGGCTAACACTCTGACAAGCCATATGCGCGGCGATCTGGTGGTTAAATTGTATAAAGGCGGAGTTTATAAGTGGGAATTTCTCGGGGTTCTGTTGATCAATCTCAATCTCAAGGTTAAGCCGGGCAAGTTCTTTTCGACAATGGTAAATTATATCGACTTTTCTACCAATAAGTGGGAGCGAGGGCATCCACTTCCAACCAAATATAGGTAGGCGCATGGTATCCCGATCTTCTCTTTTAATATATCTCTTCCAGGCAGGTTCGCCGTATTTATCGCAATCGTATTCTTCATTATATGATGAGGGATATCCCCCGCCCATATCTTCATTTTTGCTAGACTTTGTGTTTTGAAGGAGACTGGATCCCGCTTTTGGCCTGGACATCCTCAAAAGTAAATCATCGTCTGAATGACCGAAAATGGCTCCATTCACACCCATTATAGGATTGTTGGCATTTATGTCGAGCGTATTCGTGTCGAGGCAGCCGAGCTCTCCGTTTCCATTATCTGATATTTCTGTGATTCGGCTAGCACTAGCTTTGCCCATACCATAGGGGTGACCCTTAATACCGCCACTAATTTTCTGCAGTCCTGCGGCAATATTTTGGCTGAGTTGAGGGATAAGAGAGCCAACCTGGGGTATATTATCTCGCTTGGAACGCAACAAATCTTGTAATGTATGGGCAATCTGGTGCGGATTACCCGAGCTAATACCAGGTTGAGTAATTCCCCCATCAGGCTCTGCCTGAACTCTCTCCTCATGTTTTCCTTCTTTCTTTGCATGGGCTTCTATCTTTATCAAGTTAGCCGCCTTGCATTTCTTTATTAAATTAGTCTGTGTAGACTCTAGCATAGATGCTACTTGGTTCCGTTGCTTGATTTTAGTATTTAATGGATCAAAATTTCGATTTACCCAAATATTGCGAACTCCACCGGGAAATACATCGAATAATGCATTAAGTTTATCGACTGATAACCATTTACTCGGAATAGAGGTGACTAGCACTGTGGTTGCTGAAGCACGGAGGCGATGTTCCGGAGACATCAGATAAATCTGTCTTAAGTGAATATAGCCTCTGAACTCATCGAAGAATATAGCACAGGTATATATGACCACGATAATAGCGAGGACTAGGTGTGCCCAGTAACGATGACTATTCTCTGGCCTAATATTTCCCCATGCTAGTTGGTCTAGCCCGGTAACGTTATACCGCGTTGCTAGTCCCTTAATCCGGGGATTTACTGGGTTCCTATCCCTTCCGCCAAGTTTATTCACTAGGAGTAGTATAGGGAGTATAAGTAGTGAGAGAGGGATAAATATCTTGAGGAGCATTTGTAGGTATCGTAGAAAGAAGTAGGCGTCTAGTCCACATTTTCTAATAAGCTCCGATTTCGATGTTTTAAAAACAGGAATTATCCATTGAAAATAGCCCGTTGGAGGTAGAGTTGTACGCTCTCGTTCAGGGACGAGATATGTGCGAGGCTGGCTAGGAAATGAGTTAATATTGGATGACAGCTATTAAATCTATAGACTTACTAGATTCTTGTGAGTTTGCTTTGAATGGCAAGGAAGATAAAAAACTCAATGGCGAAGACAACACTGGCAGTCGATAGCGAAGCAAGTAAAGCCGATATTGAGATACCAGCGGTTCTTTGGCCAATCCCGTGCTGCAACTGAATCGCACTTTCTGAATCCATTATTTTTTTCAAATACAACACCTGACTTTTTCTAGTTCTCTCTTCGTGTTACTGAAGCAACATCGCTATTTGGCTCAAAGATAATAATCACCTCCAGCCATTTGATTGGGGCGGTTACCAGTGGTTTGAGAGGTTCTATTGCCTATGAATAGAACCGTAGGCTACGGAAGAGAGCCAATTTTTAAATAGAAAAGCATAACTAAAGACGCCTTACCTTCAAGTCAGCCGGCTTAATCTATACTCTCAGCCTCTCCAAAATATATATAAGTGACTGCTAACGTTAGTCGAGTGTGGTTTTGAATCCCACTCCTTTTTGTCTTGGCTGCGGTTGTCGGTCAGCTATCCACCATGAAATACCTCATGCTCGTGGTTTTACCGGGTTTGCTGTTGAAGATGTCCGCGGCATTCAACATACGCAATATTATGGAGACCGAGTGTATATGCCCGTCTCTGCCGACGAAGCCAACAACAATGAGCAATACATCAAAGCCGGTGGACATTCCAAGTTCAACTATGGTTGGTAGCACGTCCTCTATCATTATAAGCCTAAACTCTACGGAAACTTCAGCGACCAACAGTAGAAGCTCATCTACGAACCCAACTGGTTCTGGGAATGCGTCATCTGTTACCACCACGCCAAGCACTGCCGGTAATTCGGTCAATTCTACTTTCAGTGGAAGCTCCGTTTCAACGACGTCAACCAGCCTCAGAGCCGTCTCTACCGCCGACGTGAGCAACGTACCGGAGCCTGAGGCTGTTCCGCCTCTCTGTACTGGTCCGGGACACTATTCTGATCCCGTGTTCGTGGATGAAGTATTGAAAGGCATGAACCATACCTGTGGCCTTTTTAATGGTACGGAAGTGCGCGCCGAGCCGCAGATTTCCAGGTGGAACGCCAGCTGTATTGGCCACGCGTTCCCGTACTGCAGTACTCCTATCCAATTTAGTGTAAAAAGCCTCCTTTGCACAGGAATCACTATAGGTGTTTCGAATTCTATCGCGGCTAGCTGCGAGCGGAACTTTCTGAGGATCATCCACGGATGTGATACCCCATCTTATAAGAAGTTTGGAGGGGTTTTGAAGCTAGGTGAATGTGTGGAGTGGAACATCACCACTTACGATTATGTGTATCAAAGATAGGATAAGGGCGGCATAACGGCCGGGCCCCGGGGGTGTTGCCATCAATATTTGGAATGTATTCCGGGTTTCCGTTGGCAGTCCGAACCAGTGAATGATACTGGTCACCGAATTGATATATAGAGGGGTCGCCCTATATAGATTGTCTGTAGTGCGTAGTCGGATCTCGGGTCTTACAGTCGCACCCGAAATCTCCTTCCATGTCATTCATACATAGATTGACTCCCAAGCCTTAATGCCAAGTTCCACTAATCCCCAATTGGTTACTATCCAGTCCCATTGACCAGTAGGCTTCTATCGAATATCGACCCACGTGGAGAATCAACCACAAATGGCTTAGATAGCTCATGATTAGGGTTTGGGAAATGATCTCTAGATATATACTATGGGGTCCAAAAGTCTCGTGACATCCATCAAAAAATAAAACACCACTTCTACCTATTTTTAAAATCATCCACCATTTCATCAAAATGAGAGCCTTTAGCACCGAAGTTAGTGGAAATAGACGACAGGGATGTGAATTATCAGAATCTACGCGTTGTTCTATCTATAACTAATACCTTAGTGGTGTTGCACCCAACATTATTTAGAATAATTTCAGCATCTCGCGACCTATATATTATCAAATAATTGAACGCGTAACCAAATACCACACATTCAAGTCCTTACCTCGATTAGGCAAACCAAAGGCTCTTAATACTCGAGAGTCGCGTTGTCTCTATTAAATTGCTCGAAGATTTCCTAATACATATTGCCTACAAAGGGCTAATTTCTTATATTAGGAAGGATATTTTAAAGACTACAGCAAAGAGGTATTGTGGTGGGATATGTGCGTCGCTACCAATATATGATAGGGACTCATCAAGATGGGTGTGAGGAGTGTGAGCACGTCTGGTGCTGGATATCATTGTGACATCTCCGATGACACAACCAATGTCGTAATCAATCGTCATGTTCATACAGTGTAGTACTAGCCTGGCGGTGTATGTCAACGCCCAACCAGTACCTTGCAGTCATGAGTGGAATGGTTCTTATATTCTTGTAGGAAAGATAGAGCTCGATCTATGTACATGCAGTGGCTCCTCCAGTATCCGGAGATATAGTATAATTCTGAGATACGAGATATTTGATTGATTTGATTGGTCAGGTGGGTCTGGAGCAATCTATGAGATTTCAATCTATCAAGCACTGATCATCTAAATACACGATATTGAGCTCCTATTTATGTTCCTCATACGGCCATGTATCTTGCCATCGCGGAGATGCCAGCTACAGCTGAAACAGGCGTTAAAACGCCGGGCGTAGCATTTGTTCGATGATGGAGAGCTGACACTGATATTTAATGAAACGGCGTAGTTGACTAACGTGTTTCGTACGATCAGGCAGTATTACACCGAATCTCCGTTCAACAATAATCTAGTTAACCTAGTGAGCCATGGGAAGGATATATTATAGATAGTATATAGCTCTATTTAGTTACGCCATACTGACGTACTGCGCTAATATTACTTTAATATATTCAAGTAGGCCTGCATATGACCGAATAAATAGTGCATGAGCAACGGCTTAGGGTGAATCAGATATTGCAAGCTACTGCAACTACTCAGGGGTAGGCAGCGCCTTTATTCTCCGTATTGCTACGTCTTACTTGAACAATCGGATCTTTTTACTTGCGTTGATTTGTGAGAGTGGCAACACGTGTTTCCGCGAATTCTTCGATGAAATCCTACGCTGACAAGCTATGCAGTCGGTCGCTACCTGCGGATGGCGGTTCATTAGCCCAAAAGCGCTGCCGATCCCCTGCATTTCGCAGTACCAATTGGCGGATCGCGGAGGGCCAAGCCTTACAAACTGCTCTATAGGGCTCCCCGCCACCCCTAGCGCTGGCCTCAGGGGTTCTCCCAAATCCCTTACCGTAAAGTTGATTGGTAGGCAATATCTCTGACAGATATGACACGCCGTATTTTCCGACGTCGGAAATATAATTCTCTTGCTCCCAAGGATTAACTCCACATTCGGGCCGTACAACCTGGTGATGGCGCGCAAACCGACGCCGACAATATCAAAACGGCACCTTACCACTGCTACACAGCGGAAGTATGTATTCTCCTTCCGTGGGATATCCGCGAGCCTGAGGTAGAAGGAAGCTGCTAGCAGGGCCCTGAGGGCCCTCCGACCCACCTCACCAACTCCCTGCTCACCAGCCAGCTTTATCAGGCCGTTCACGCTCTCAACCGAATCCAGCGGCGGTACCTCACCCGGTATCAAGGTGTCCAGCCTGAAGCAGTATTCCCGCGTCTCTCTGTCTAGCTGACTCATCAGCGCTTCCCACGCGGCCCCGCCGTCCATGGAGGACATGAGACGATGAAACAGGCGGAAGGGGAACTTATCCTTCGCCCGTCTCGCGGGTGATCCCTCACTGGTGTCCTCTGCGCCTTGGCCATCGTGCGACGGTGGGGCGGGCACGCCGACTCCGGTTCCCAGCGACAAGAGGACGCCGAGCTCCGGCTCCCAAGGCCACATTCGCGGAGTCTCGCTCCGGCAGAGGGCCGCTGGGTTGGGACATTTGAGCGCCCCGTCCTGGCAGTCGCCGACCCCTTGGAGGTTGATGGGCGGGAAGAACCTGCGATATCAGTTTGTTAGCTGCTCGCCTTGAGAGAAGGGAGGACACGTAGTTACCCCGGTGCCGCGCTGGTCGCACGTGCGCTAGGGTGGAAATCGTGGTTAGTTTGGTTAACAAGAAGGGAGAAATAATTCCCACTCAAGCGCTGCTTACCACTGCCACAGTAACGGCGAAGGCCTCGAAGGATCGGGATGTAGGTACCCTGCACAGAGTTCACGTAAGCCACCGCACGGCCAAATGCCTGTCAACCCCTTGCACTTACCGTTGTCGGCCTGGCCGTGCTCTCCCACCTTACGATTGGAGAGTACCACCAACTGGTCGGACGTAGTCAGGGCCGTCACCAGCAGTCTTATGCCTGAAAACGCCGTTCTGCCAAAGATAGACCTTCTCTCATAATGGCGTTGGAGGACGCTATCCAGGACCACGGGCCCGTAGATCCCGTCCTTGAACCAACATCTCACCAGCGAAGGCAGAGAGAAGAGCCACCACCCGGGCCTGGGCGATTTCTCAAACACCTCTTTGAGGAGGCCGGCCGAATTTTTCATGCACACTTTTGGGGGGAGCCCCAAGACGGTGAGGTCGATGCCGTTGATACCGCCTGCTAGCAACCGTGAGAACGCTGCGGTTTTCACAAGCATGAGGAGTGCTTACCCGCCCTTGGAAGAGGGGGTGGAAGGGACACCGTTTACCTATACTGCTGCCGGAAACCACATCAACGAGCCACTGGATCGGGAATTCCTTCAGTGTATCCTCCAGGAAATTTTCAAAGGAATCCACTAGAGCATCCTCTAGTTGCATCAACATCTTGAGCTGGAGAACACCTCGCACCCCCCCTCCGTCCAGGGCGAGGCCTCTGATCGTGGCCGTCCTGGGGACAAGGTCGGCTCGAAGCTTTTCCGGCGCCTGACATACAAGACAGGAACCGAGCTCGTACTGCAGCTCCTTACGCTTGACCGGCTCGCCGAATGCCTCCACGCACACGTCACAGACCGAGTGGCAGGACGTGGAGTGGTGCGGGAACCGGGACAGACAGCAGAGGCAAACCCCCTCGGTTTGTATATTCGACAACCATCGGCGATGACGAGTCAGGTTCTGGAGATGGATCTTTCGGGCGGGGCCGCCTCCGGCTACTAGCTGCCCGAAGAAGTCGACAAAACGAGATTCTATCTTGCGGCAACGGCTATCAACCTCCGGGCCGTGAGCTTCTCGTAGTGCCTTGATGCATGGTCCTCGATATAGGGACTGGAAGGCTGTGTGGGGTTCAAACACTGGTGCGGTTGTTAGTACAAGCCTGTGCCTGGGTCAGTTGAATGGGATGTTTGTAGGTATGAATAGGTTAAAGAGGAGATAGGGGTGGGGGTGGGGGTCTGGGCGTACAGTGCGCCTTAGGTGGATACGCGTCCATCAGCATGCTGGAGGCTATCAGACTATTCTGGACAGCAGGGTCAATCTTTGCCGTTAGAGAAAGAAAAGTCGTTAGGTGGCAGGGATAGTAGCTGTTTATGTCACTTCCTTTTCGGGACACACTTATGAAGTCGAACTCGAGGTGGCGACTACGGCACCTTAGGTTTATTGCCTCTTCGAAGAGCTCATTAAAGTGGCCAGCGGTAAAGAGCGAGCCATGCTCTCGGCGATAGCGGCGCGACAGGTCTAGGTGTTTGAGCATCTCATCCCTCAAGGGCTGATAAGATGTCACTGTCAGGGACTCTGGAGGAGGGAGACAGATTATGTCTATGCACATAAACGTGTCCACGACTCCGGCGTGCTGCGATAGTTCCGCAAGGAACTGGCCCTTCAGAGTATCCTGCGTGACGCCTGCCCCGTCAGAAACGGCAACCACGATGACTCCGGGCCTAGGAGTCAAGCTTGATGCAGACCCAAAAGTGGCCCAGGCGGTTAGTAGTGTCTTGACCCCTTCCATACCTCCAACATCTTCTGCGAAAAGAAGCACCACATCCGTAAAGAGGAAGATTAGGCGGGTAAGAAAGATGTCTTGGATATCTGTGTCTGTGGCTGTCGCCCAAGGTATCGGACGAAGTGACGGATTTGAATCCGCCGCGTCTAGGTGGTAGGCGTGGGGATCACAGTCGGCGAACAGCACAGGGTGGTCGGAGTTTTCCGTCCTGTGATCAACCCGAAGATTGACGTGACGTCCTCCCGTTAAGGGTTTCTGCTTGAAACCCTGCCGAAGCGCCCTATTTTTTCCTTGCCGGCCCATAAACACTGCCAAGCTGGGATATTGAGTGTGCCGGCTCCCTGGGCCTTCGAGAATGCGATAGAGACGTCCATCATACTGGAGACATGGATGGTCGCCATTCCGTACCAGTTTAAACCACGTGTAGTCTTCCAAGGAACGCATCGTTGCAAGCTCAGCACGAGAAGTAAAGCACGTAGATAATTTTGAGTACTTCAACCGGTTGGAAATGCGCATATATATGTTGGTACCAATCACATATTTCCACGTTTTTTCGTAGAAATAGCGCTAGATTGACCGCGACATCAGCTCGCTCATAGGTGCAGCCACAGCATCTAGCTAACGCATGCCCTTTATAGAGAGAGTACTGGGCACAACTAGTCACAAAGAGGGGTCTGAAGGCCATGGGAGATTATTATTCAATCGTTAACCATTAAAGGTATATACGTTTAAATTATCTCTACGTGTTGAAAAGCGCTCGGATACTGACATTACGACAGCTTGGTGGGTTTATACATAGGACGTTGCAAAATCACTATCTATATAATAGGCTTCTTTGCTTGGATGATTCTACCTTACGCATGATACTGTATCCAAAAATCACATGACCCAGATACCGAATATTTAATATCCATGGATAGTTACACGTTTGTGATCGACGTAAGAAATGCTCCTGAGGCTTTCTTACAACGCAGGCGGCTGACGAGTAATATCAAAATGTTAGCTAAAATGGAAAAGATGGAACAGAGGATACGGAAATTATAAGTGAAGTTGATCTGTGTGGCTGGAGGTCTGTTGCAATTGATGATAGCCAGCTGAGTGGTGGATAAGGCTGAAAATTGGGTTGATACCGAACAGGGTAACTAGTTATGCGGATCTGCCCACACTTTTTCCGATGTCAGCTAGTTAATCTGTTGCCAGAGCCTGCGTTTGGCGCTAAGTTCCACGCCCCTTGGCTCATATCGCCTAGGCACCTATTGGTCAGCTCTTTTGGTCGAGATCTCTACACTACTTATATATATAGATCTGTCATAGACTCACTCCCTAAATAGTATTATCATCTACCTGTTTCAGGCCTATTTTACCCTCCGTTCGATAGTCTTTAGGGCCAAGAGCCATTGCTTGGCTGTTCCCCTGTGTCACTTCGAGCCTGCTAGTCACGTGTTCCACATACAGTCTCCAAGATCTGTTAAATTGATGGGTGATCACGTGATAGAGCCCCACTTTCTCGAAAATGGGTTGCACCAGCGAATAACCTTCTAACACTACTCGAGAAAGGCCACTATCAACAGCCGCGAGTTAAGTAGAGTATAGGAGACATCTTCCGTGCTCTGGCCATGGCCGATATTCTGTTTCTTGATGAGTTGCCATCCCAGTTATTAGACGCCTGGGACACATTTAAGATTTTGCGAACGTTAGATGCTAACCCAGCCCAAGGAGACGCAGCTTATCCCGTCTGTCCACTGCCTAACCAGGCGCCTAAAGGAAACGATAATGATACTTCTCTCCTCCAGTAACAGCAGTAACGATCGGGGAAGCTTGCTTTGCTTCAGGCCACAGATTGGGACAAAGAGAGGACCTATGACGAGGACCCACCCGTATGCATACACTACTCTATCGAGTGGAAGGTCACTGTAAATGGAAAGGTGGTCTCGAAGGATACAGAGCAGGATCTGGTGCTGGCGCCAGGCTCATACTGGGACCTTTTTTTGCGGCCGAAGCTGAACAAGCTTTTACGTAGAAAACTTTCCCACAGTAAATGTATAAAGCCCGATGACACAAACGTTGTGATCTCGGTAACAGAGCGCTCAGAGCGAGACCTTACAAAAAGATTTGACGACACAGAGGTCGATTGGCTGGTTGTTGAAAGGCAACTGTCAGCCTGGGGAGAATTATTTCGTGCTGGGAAAAAACTCAGGGTAGACCTCTCATTCAACTACGTTGAAATCGGACAGCAATCAGCTACACCCTCGAAGAAAGGAGACAAAAGAGGCCCAATGTCAGTCAGTCAGCAGATGCTCGCCGATCGAACAGCGCAGCTTGATGCAGAGCAAGATTCTACGGGGCAACGCTCCGTCTGGGTGGAGGTTTACAACCTAATGCGCTGCCCCGGACCGCCATGCAATTTAGGGCCCCATTGCTGGCGTGACCCTGTTGGCAAGAAACATTACAAGCTAATGACACATCACCTTAAAAGGCTTATCAGATACGTGGAGGAAGGTCACGAGTTGCGGACCCAAGACGATGTCCCAGAAGACATCAGGCAGCAACTGTACGCAGAGGAGCAACAGAGTTTCCAGAGAAAGCAAAAAGAGAGTACAGGGCCTTCAAACTTTCCCCCCATCAATATCACCAACGTACTGCCTGCACAGTCACCCCAGACATGTCTTCCGACTCCACAGTCAAGAACATCAACCCCCACACCAAATCCAACCCCCGATCGTCTAGAGGTTCCGGGTCTTCGGGATATTGCCGTGCATAGATACAGTGAATGGCAACAGTCAAAAGTCGGTGATGAAATACTCAAAGCTGAGTTTAGGAAAGCTCGCGATATAGTATTGGCGGATGGCCTAGACCTCGAACAGGTCCATGAGGATCAGGACCCCAACTTTTTGATTGAGGGCGGTGTGAAAAGGGGGGTTTCTCGACGTTTCGTGCGGGACATAGAAGACTGGGTTGAACATTATAGAGACACTGTAACGGAGGAGTGCCCTATCAGGGCTTCACAGGATTTATTTTCTTGATTGCTTGTATGTATTGTCTGCGGGAGACTTCCCGATTAGATATTTATTTTTAGAGATTTGGCACATTACGGCAGGCCCGAATGTCAGTTTGGTTCCAACTCTTCTATAACCAAGCCTGCATGTCTGAAATGGCCTTTTGCACTACGTTCCCTCCCACCCACAATACTAACACACCACTCGAGGTACATATCAAAGCCTTGCTCTGGGTTGTCTTCGTAAGCTTTCCACTTTCGTTTAATAAACGCTTTCAACTCTGCAAAGAACTCTTCGATAGGATTCAGATCAGGTGAGTAAGGGGGGAGATAAACCAGCTTGACGCCCGCATCAAAGCACATTTGCTCGATCCGTTCAGTATGATGGAATGAAGCATTGTCCATCACAATTACTGACCTCGGCTCCGGCCACTTTCCACAGAATGGAAGGAGCTGTTCGATGAATTCTTCGAAGACAGTCCCATCCGTAGAGCCCTGAAAGATCCGGGATAACACAATGCCATCCTGTGAATATGCGGGCAGGATCTGGTATCGTTGCTCTCGTTGAAAGCGCGCAATCTGAATGGGAGTCACACCGAAAGGAGACCATCCTTTCCGTCTGAAGCCAATTCGCTTGTCGCAGCCAGATTCATCTATATACACGAGGTGGTAAGAGCGAAAAGCCGACAGATTGTGCAGGTATATGTCCCTTAAGTCCTGGCTCTGCTCCTTCGCTATACGACGAGCGGTTTTTTTTTGACCAGCCAATTCTGGCCAAAGCCCTGCTAATGCAGGATGTGCTTATAAGGGCCTCAAATTCATCCCAGAGGAACATAGCCATTTCATCTAAATACTGGTCAGGCCTTTCGAGAAGATGTTCTCGCAGAGTATCTAGCATAGCCAGCGTGATGGATCGGGGACGTCCACCCCCGTTAGGCGGAGCTCTGGTCTGGCCAAAGTGACGGAGGTTAGAGCGTATGTTTTGGACCGAACGGATGCTGCAGCCAGCAACAGCGCCGATTTGGCGGTTAGTGAGCGAGTCGCTGAGAATCATATCTCGAATGAGGTCATGTTGAGAGGCGGCAAGATTCGGTGGCATGGAGGGCATTAATTCATAGGGTCCTTTGGTTTATGGTACATACATATATACGGGGGCTTTTCAGAGTCAACCTTTAACTTCCCATGGGTGCGAGATTACCAGCGCCTGGCCATCACTCAGTAACAACAAGGATATTATGTCGGATATTGCATCACGTGACCTCATACGGCCCCCTGGCATATCCACTTATATACGGCTCATGTAGGGTTAGCCCTTTTACACACATATATATAGAGGCCCAAAAATGGCCTGTAGACTGAGAGATCATCATTCATCTCTTTACACCTATTTTGAGCTCCTGATCGTAGCGTTCCGGGCTTTACAGCATTTCATTGCTGTTCCGCTGTGTTTCGTGGAGACGCCACCCCATCGGTTGATTGGCCGCCTCTGAGATATTACGACATAATACATTTAGTTTACAGATTATGCTCAGGTACCACGCCAAGATTACTTTAACCTTTCCAGGTAAGGCTAAACCCTAGAATGCATATGACAGAATAAATAATTCACGAGCAACGGCTTAGGGGTAAATCCAGTATTGCAAGCTACTGTATTGAAAGGTTCTCAGAGGTTCCAAAGCCGCGTCCAACAGCAAGGATAACATCACAGGCCGTGACGAGGCTCCAAATTCGTCTGTATGTAATCGTTCACTGTAGGTAGACATAAGGATAGGTAGAGTCGTTGTAGCCTGCATATCCCTCAGGGGAGAGGTCAGGGTAAATGAAACACACATACACACACACAGACTGTATTGAAAGGCAACTATCGGCTTAGAGAGAGCTATTTCGTGCTGGGAAAAAGCTCAGGGTAGACCTCTCATTCAACTATATTAAAATCGCGCAGCAATCCGCTACGCCTTCAAAAAAAGGAGACAAAAGAGGCCCAATATCGGTCACTCAGCAGATACTTGCCGACCAAACAGAGCAGCTTGATACAGAGCAAGGTTCTACAGGGCAACGCTCAGTCTGTGGGAAGGTTTACAACCTGATGCGCTGCCCCGGACCGCTGTGCCATCTGGGGCCTCATTGCTGGCGTGACCCCGCTGGCAAGAAACATTACAAGCTAATGACACATCACCCCAAAAGGCTCATCAGATACGTGGAGGAAGTCAATATTTATGCGATACATGCTGCGTAGCGAACATAAATAATTATTGTTATGGAGTGCTGCGTACTTGGATTCTCCCGGAAAGAGCTAGTTATCTGGATGCCAATCCACGCGCACAAGACAGGTCAACGAGTTATCCAAAACCTTTTACTTTTGCCACCTCCTGGACACAACTCTGGACAAAGATGAACATATTAAGTATAAAAAGGAAAGATACCAGGGCCTGAACAGCTATGAGCCTGTTTCCCCAGGTTGCTATATCAACCCCGCTAAAACGGCAAACGAGACCAAACAGCGTCTGCAGTGCCGAGATAATAATAAGATCCCGCGGCAGGCAGTTCAAGTTCAAGGTAACTGTGCGTCTGGAAAAGAGAGACCTCGCATAAGCGGAAGCTTGTGTTGCCGCCATCACGGCTGCGGCGACCCCGACAACAGCAGAGCTACAGAAGAGTATATTGGCAATGTCGGAAGCTGCCTCGGATGCCTCACGGTCCAGGGAAAGCATAACGCTGAGGAGGGTGACAAGAGCTCCGGAACAGATATATATCCAGTTACAATGGATAAGGCCTCGGGTGGCAGCTTCATCAGTGACTATATTCAATTAGAGGGGGCTTGCTTAAGGATGTGATTATAACGTACTCGTTGAATCCATCTGAGATTTCGGCGTTGGGGAAGTGTTCGAAACAGTGTAGCTCCGAGTAGATAGGGAGTTTATTAGACATATATATATTCTATACCCCGTACTCAAGTAAGCCCAAGGCCGTGCCCTATATTGAAATTGTATTACGTATGAGATGCAGCTTTCGAGTCGAGATCAGAAAAGGAGATGGGTTAGACTAATTTTACGGTACTTGTTAGCACTCTAGATGAATGCTTTTCGCAAAATGCTAGTACCGCATGCGGTTAAGTTAGTGTTGTAACGGTCGAATGGCACTGGTTTAAATGCACTCACTAATCAGCATATCAAAAAATATCATCAAAAGGTACAGCGGGTTTATGGTTCTGTAATTCTCTAGTTTAACTTTTTTTTTCTATTTTCCTTTTCTAAAATTTTTAAATGATTACAAATATTTACTAACGAATAACTTCTTAAACCAGCAAGTTTTTAAATATAAACTTTGAGTCAGCGAGGGGACTAGGTCGCGTTTTGGCATTATATGTCATGGCCTGCGTTCGAAAAGTAAAATAGGACCGTCAGATAAATCCATTGTATTTATTGAAATAACCGTATGTATATTTCAAGGATATTTCGGGCATAAGTCACGACTTAAACTTATTATAGACAAAACTATCCATTTAACTTAGCTATAAATTACCAAATTGCCTTCTATATAGGTGCCTGCCCTAGTAATCGTGTAATTTTGTTTAATAATACTAAGTTCTTTCATTCATGAGGCCTTTAAGCAGTCCAAGTACCTCGTTTAGAGTAGATTGAAAATTTTCCGGCCTATTGGTATTGGTAACACTTAAAGCCGATGAGTGTATGCCCTCGTTCCAAGGGATGGAGTGTCCGTCCTTATTCTTCCAAGGTATGGAGTGTCCGTCTTTATTCTTCCAAGGTATGGAGTGTCTTCCCTCGTTCTTCCAAGGTATGGGCTTATTTTCGTTGCCATATAGTTCCTCCACCTTGAACTCAACTTCCTTTGGGCCAATACCATTTTTTAGCCTGGTAGCATTTGCCCAGCCCTTTAACGAGTTGTTGTCTTTGTTCCTAAACACCCCGTAGACTTCTCTATCAGGAATGCGATGTGAATTTGGACCCTGGTCCCGTGCAGCAACATATAATAATTTCACAATGCATGTCTCATCCTGTGGGCGGATTTGGAGGCGTTCCTTTCGATAGTCAACTTTATTGTTACTCCTTAGGTAGGCCCTTGATGCTTCAGCTCCAACATCCCTGAATCCCACTATCTTGCAAATTTTGCTGTCTGGCTCGCTCCGAACGATGAAACTATACTGAGGTACCTCCACACCTGAAGCTTTGAAATGGCACGATTTCATCGCGTACGCAATAATATCTTGCCCATCAAAGGTGGTCTTGCCAGGAATATAGCCCCTTTTTTTTACCCCGTTGCCAGGGATATGGTCTTCTTTCCTTCCTGCTCCGTCCCTCGATTTGCGTTTCGTACTCGTCTGCATGGGATAGTTGATGTAAAGTCCATCTTCTTCAACGGAAAACCGCGCTTCCCATTCTGGCGGATATTTGTATTTTGTAATTTCGAGGCGGAGAAACTCGTTAAATTTACGAACAGCAGAGGAAAGTTCTGTTATACCGCCGGTCCGTTGAGGCTCCCCTGCTTCTTTCTTGGTTGTATCAGCGTAGCGAGCGAATACTTCACCAACTGCATGGCAAATGGGATGGTACCCAATGATATTATCCTTAGGACCCCTACCCTTCGATGAATTCAGGGAGTTGATTTGTCTGTTAAAGCTATTAAGCCGCTGTATAATTCTCTGGTTCTGTGGGTTCTTGTAGAGGCATCTGATCCACATTGTAGCTTGCTTGTAAATACTCCCGACCTCTGGTATAGATTCACCCATCGGGACATCTTCATTTGGCGTGCCGGGGGCCCCTACCCACTTAGTGGGCATTATGTTTCCATCTTTATAAATAAATGTCGCTAGCCACGACTCCGGGAAGTAGAAATTTTCAACCCAGTCGTATATTAATGCGTCTAGGGACTGGAGGATATTATTTATTTGCGTCTCTGAAGACGGTCCAAACTTCTTTATCTCCCCTCTAAACCTGGCATAGGATGTCGGAAAAGTGATTGTAAATTTGTCTGAGCCAACTTTGTTTTCCTTGTTTAAAGCAGTGATATCCTTATTAATTGGGCGGAGAAGCTCTTCGGGCTTTAATTCGGAATTCTTGTAGATTTCCCAGATGATCGCGGTGGCGTTCTCATATAGAACCTGATATTCACGTTGTGGTCGTGGTGGTTTTTCGTTAAGGAAGACAGTCGGGAGCTTGATTATGCCATCACTATCTTCTTCATCTTCATCTTCATCTTCATCTTCATCTTCATCTTCGTCGTCAGAATACTCCACGTCCCCAGTTCTGTGATTATTCCGATAGCGCTCTGCCGATTTTTCTACTTTGTCGCGCGGTATACCCAAATTTTCCTGAGCCTTTTTGACACCTATAGTCAATTAATTAGCATAGATATATATTTCAGCTCATAGGTGGAACCGTCTTACGGTTAAATGCCTGATTTACTTCCTCCTTTGATTTTGTGCCCATAAACTTATCTGGATGGACGATCAAGTAAAACTCTTTCCTCTGCTCTTTAATCAATTTAGACGTGTACCAGTCGTCCAAGCCAAGTACCTCATTATCGGTTTTTGCGTTTAGGACACGGTCTACAGTTGCATCATGCTTTGCGGCCTTTTCCCTCCGCTCTTTATCGTCGTCGTCGATCGCCATCGGAATTCTCGTTCTAGAAAAGTGATCCAGCTGGGGAAGCATAGCTCATCACGGATAGCACAGAGGGGAGACCTTGACGTTATATATATCTTGAACCTAACATTCCTGGCTTTCCTCTTGTACGAAGTTATGGCTTAGTACTTTAACGCCAAATAGATACTCTTGTGACACCACTTATGCCCCACAGGCATTATTTAATTTGCCTCGTACCTAAAGTAAAATTTGCCGCGTACCGTGGTAAACAAGTTTATTGGCGAAAGGTAGACTGGACCAAACGTGTATGATTGGCTCACATATTAGTAAACTAACTATTTCTTTTAACCCTGTATCGGAGTAAATATGTTCTATTTCTAAGTAACGTACGACTCGCACGCAGATATCTAATGGATCTCATTACACATGGAGTCATTTCGTCACCAGCGGTCCTGAGCCATTGAGTTTTGATACTGCTAGTTATGGAAGCGCGATTTCTGTCAACAGCGCTGCCTCTTTATCCACACATACTGTATTATTAGTTCCTTTACATGTAAATATAACTACTTTGACCAAAGCCATGCCAGCCAAACTTTAATTAAGAAGTTCTCAATCTCTATGTATATTCGCTGTAAAGCAGTATTGTGTTATAACGGGGGATAGACTGCATTCCGTTGGACCATAGCTGACCCTTGATTTCCATTGGAAACCAGTCCTTTCGTCCGTTGGCCCAGTGGTTCCGACGCGTAGTGGTCAATTATCACTCGCCAGGAAATCCGGCTTTCAGATTTGCGTACCGACTATCCGGGAAGTTTAGCGCATTTGGCATATTCTCCAGGTTATATGCCCTGTTGCCTCGGATGAAATTGACATATGTCGCGATAAGGCTATCGTTAGCTCCCCCCTTATCCCCACTCGCCTCCCACCACATTGCCCCCCCCAGGCCTGATTCCACAATATACCGCGACTTCTCTACCACCATTGGCACCGTGTCATATGAAACCATCTGCCGCTGATCTACATCATAGCTCCAGGAAGCACCAAAATTTTTATCTGTATGCTCCCTAGCCCCTTGCCGTGGGAGCACCTTGTAATCCCATACCCCCACCTCCCAGCTGTATCCGTCTCCCCCGCCGGAGAATGGTGAACCTGGCCCGTTTGTGTTGGCGAACACTCGTCCATAAAGCGGCATGCCTAGTACTATCTTTGACGCCGGTACCTTGCCGGCACCAGTATAGTATTCTATAGCCGCACTAGACGAGAATGGCGTAGAGTTTCGGTTATCAGGCGCTGGCTTTATGTTCGCCTGATGGCCCGCCATTCTGGACCCTGGCCAGTTCCCCACATAGTCATACGCCATCAGATTGTAGAAGTCGAGGAGGGGGGTCATCTCGGAGAGTCTAAGTTTCTTGAACTTCTCGGGCCCTAGATGGAGTTGATATTAGTTACTGCAAGGTCTTATATGCTTGAATGATAGTTACCGGCCGAGACTGCCGCGGTAAGAAGAAACCGGCGACCAGCGCCTGCGCCGTCAAGGGCCTGTGGGATGTTAGGCCTGGGTATTGTGTGGGGGAGGGACGGGACACTTGCCTTTCTAACTGAACGGAGGAGTTCCACGAGGTCCTTCGCCTGGTTATCGTCTAATTCCTATTATTAGCATCGACTGCGAAGAGGGGCAGATGGAAGGGTACCCTCGGGATATTCCCAATCGATATCGACACCTGGAAAATTAGTCATATATGATAAAGCAGGTTTGGGCGGGAAATAATACCATCAAAACCTAGATCTAGGACCAGCCTGGTCACTGTTTCTGCAAAAGTAGACCTTCCTACTTCTGAGCTGGCCGGGTGTGCAAAGTTATGGGAGTCGGCCCACCCTCCGACAGAGAGGAGAACCTTTAGGTTACGGTTCCTCTTCTTAATGAGAAATAGCTGTTTGACGCACCCATAGACATTATTTTCCCCTTCTTCCTGCGGATCGCCTGGAAAATGCTTTTCAATATCGGCCCAGCTGTCCTTGAGGCTCCTAGTAACAGGTTAACGGCTGCCAACGGGTATGAATAGCTTCTACTTACACTTCCCCGCTTCTTGCGTCAATTCCCGCGAATGCGTAGAGAACATGAGTTAGTTTATCAGCCGGAAGATTCTGTGGTGTATAGTTACGGGCATAGATTGCCTATTAAAGTCGGATTAGTAAAAAACTATACATTTAGGAGCGAGAAATACCCAGTCAACGAAGTAGACGACAGAGCGGAGGCCATCGGATATTTCTACACTGCTTGTTGGCTGCATGCTATCACACACGGAGTTTGTTGGCGTTGGATTATCGCTTAGCTCCGTAGAGATGGCTCCCGATACAAGTAATAGTGTGAGATAATATAAAGCAAATATGGAAGTGCTGTAGTGCGTGAGGCCTCGGGGCGGGGCCCTTAGCCGTCTAGAGTTAGAGTCCATCGCCAAATTTACGCCTACTTAAAAATCAGAACGAGAGTACCTAGATTTATAAGTGTGCTCCTCAACTAATATATTGCTACCTTCAAGTATTGTTGCCTTTTGGCTCCACAAATGCTTGGTGAATGGCTCACACTATACGGCTTAACAGCCCCAAACATATTCTTTTTCCGTCTCATACACAAGATTACTTCCCCAGACCCTTATCACGTGCGTGAGGTAACCTATATGTGGACCGTACGGAGTACTCGCTCGGGGAGCGCAAAGCTTATGGAACAAGGGGGAGATTAACTTTCGGAATTGAGCACGCGATTAAACGAAGGATGGGGGCTGGTATCGATAACTAGCGTAGTTAGCAGGTAACTGGTTGGTCACAAACTTTTGATTTTGGAATAAGATTGGCTAACTCTAAGGTTGAGAGCCATAACCCACATGCATTCACCGATATGTAACGAGTTCGTTGAATATAGAGTTCAGCACAGCCAACTCCATTGATCTATATTGTATATTTACAAGTTATACGGAGTACTTATAAACCAATATACCGCCGCCTCTGACTAAACTGCTCTATCGCTCTGCTCATCGATATCCGCCCATTCAAACGCTTGGAGAAATTTAGGGGAATCTAACTCTAAGCGAGAGATACTCTCGTCAGTCCAAAGCTCTATTTGAAAGACCTTGGAGGTGACCTTGCGATAAATAAACATGTCGCTGAAATCCTTAGGGAGCTGTGGCCTGAAGTACGGCCTAACGAAATCGAAAATATTCTTTAGCTCCTTACTCTCAGAGGCCTTGAGATCTCGATATTCATTACACCCAATAGTTTTCTCGTTCGGGAATATATTCACGTCGCGCGGGAGGAAGAAAAGCACGCCCACGTTTCCGATATCCTTCACAATCTGCGACCACTCACGACCCTGGTGATACCATTTTTTTATTTTGTCTTCAACATCTTCACGCAGGGTCTCTGGAAGATTTTTATGTATCTTGTCTACTAATGCGGATCTAGCGTCCGTGATCGCACCCCTCTTCTGAAGGCTAGAAGCTGAATTGGTGATCTCATCATAGATATACCAGCTGATTAGTCGCAAGCTTATAGTTGACGACTCCTTGTTTCCAGTATGCCAGACGCCTGAACTGTAGATACCATGGATATCATTGGTAAAGGCCGATCGCCGTTGCGACTGTGATCTTAGATGTGCCACATTATGCTTTAGCCCTATAAACACGTCTTGGGAGGCAATGTTGATGACTAGCTGTAATAGCCGACTAGCGCGCTCTAGTTTGTCAAGGGTAGTGCCGCTCAGACATAACCGAGAGAGCCTGCACCACTCTTTGTGTAAGTTGGCCGTCGATCCGTACGGCTTGGGAAGCGTTTTCCAGGTAGAGGCAATCAACTTTTCCCTGGTAGAATGGGACGGAGTCTCGGGTAACTCGTCATTGCTAGACGCTGAATGACATGAGTTGAATTTCCGTTTTGCGCTGTTATAACCATGACCGCCAATAGCTCTGCGTAGCGCCTGCTTCTGGCGGTAGCTCCTGATATCTTCTAGAATCTCTGAGGCAAGTATAAATCGATAATCCTCGGGGAGGGGCTCAGCCTCATCTCGACCCGCAGCCAAGAGCCGCATGAGCCACAGCATAGGGGCACCGCAATCGCCGCCACCATCCTGCCACTGGTAGCTAGGGTGTTTAAACTTCCACGCAGGCACTTGCAGGCCCTGAGACACTCGCAAGGATGCGAGGATAGACGTGACCTTTATGCAATAGTCACAGTCTTTCTCTGAAGGCGAGCGATCACTATCTCCCGAGTTTGGGGAGATATAGTGGGTGATGCAGCCATCTGCGAAAACAACATAGATTAGTGACCAGTGCTCAGCGTGACAGTAAGGTGCCAGGGCGGCGGCTGAGTGCTTAATATGTTGCGGTGTGTATAGCAGTGTGTCATCGGAGCACCAGCTGCTATCCAATGCCAATATACCCTTAGTCTGTGATAGTTTCTTGCTGGAATAGTTAACGAGAGCACTCGTTACCCGCTCCGCCAGCTGGAAGCACTGTAGATAGTCCGAAAGGTCTTGGCGGGTAATCAGACCCCAGTCGAGATTATATTGTGATGTGGGTGGGATGCCCTCGATCGCCTTGGATAGTCCCACCATGTCCGTGTAGTAGGGAAGTTCAATATCCTGGGCGGGAGAGCCCAGAGAGCTTTGGGGCAGTGTATAATTAGAGGCCGTGGGTCCTTCACAGGGGCTAGCGCTGGGTTGTTGGTCCCTAGTTTCCGGGGGATCAAAGTCTTCGTGGGAACCGATGCCAGGGTTCTCCGCCGTGTCAGCCAACAGTCCGCCTCGCTGACCAGACGATGGCGGTGTGGCCATTGGATATTGCGGGTAAAAGAGAGGGATGAAACTACTCCCTAGTGTCCCGGCGGTTATGGGATCACTGGGCTCTTGGTCCAATCCCGGCGGCAACACCTCATTCATTAGGTTCCACACATCTAAACCGAACGCTCCGTCGTCCGGGCCGCCCATGCTAGCGAAGGGTTCGCTTGCGTCTAGGTTGTTAAGCTGCCCAGGCGTTATATCCATAACGTCACCAGCTTCTAGCGCGCTGTCGCCTTCTGGTCCATCCGCCGTCCCTGTGGATGTGTTGCCACTAGCAAGGAGACTGCTGGTGTCTATACCGGCAAGCTGCCCGGGCTCTAGCGCCCTGTAGAGCTCTGAGTCATCCATCGTATCCGTGGCTTCGATATCGAAGATATTTGGATATTGCGGCAATCGCCCGCTGATTGTATCCAATGGGTCCACCAGAGCTGGTTGGGTTACGTCGATAACCCCTTCAGCACTGCCGTTGCTATTATCGTTATCACTGCTTGGGGATTCCGAGTCGTCATCTGACGTGCTACCACCGTCTGTAACTTGGGTTTCAATGGTGTCCGGATTGGCATGTATTGGGTATGAATGGCTGCTATTAGCCCTATGGGAGCTGCTTCCTGTCGCGAGTCGACCTAATTAGTAGACATTATCACCCTTCAAGTGCCACCCACCCGCGTGGAAAGTACCTGACTTCAACTCCTCTAGGCGCGAGTTTATGTAGCTAACCAAGGATTCTGGTGATGTAGCCATATCCATAGTACCCACCTCTTCCTGTAGGATGAGGCGACGTAGCTCGCGTAAAAGAGGCAACTAACAGCGAGTCAACCTGTGTCTAGAAGAAAAAGGGGTAGGAAAGCGGGTAGCGTACGACAACATCATCCTTGGTTAATGGGAACTGGTTGAGCTCTTGAAGATATTTTTTCTATCTCGGATTAGTATGTAGCTAGATAGAACTATAAGGTACTTACCGTGGCGTTCCAGAGCCGAACTCTCTTCGTAATTGTCGCCATATTTCTTGGTAACTTAACATATCTTTATCAGAGATAGGGGTATCCGTGATTAATGAACTTGCTCGACTTAGGGCGTAATTCTGCGACCCAAGTCGGTCACCTCCATCAGAGCTCCTGGGTCCTGAATATCCATTACTAATATCCGCGTAGAACACCTGGCCCCAAGATAAATGTATATCACCAACTTTGTGCAACCATAGGCTCGGGAAAACACAGGCAAACAGAAAACCAGACTGTCGGGTACGGACGTAACATGCCACAACGTTGGTTTAGATGGTTATCCTTTTTCGGCCCTCAACGTCAAGGCATACTAGTTAATACATACTAGTATAGTACTTTCCGCTTCCTATTTCGAGAAATTTTCCATCTCGAGACGAGAGAAACGAAAGAGTGTCTGAGAGAGCAAGCCAACTCTTGCAACACGCTGTAGTCGTAGCCCCGCATAACTGGATGGGACACTCACTAATAAGTTAAATAGTGGTTGAATAAAAGATAAAAAACATCCCGTGCATATAAACAAGGGAGTCGGGTATCCACGGAGTTATCTGTGCCCCAATCACGGAGGCGCCGTTGAGAGCCAACTTTAAAGCTTGGGTATTGGTGATAGGGTTGAAAAGCCACGATACAGCTAGTACCTGTGCTAAACACTTCTCGGTGGCCTCGTCGCAAGCTGGAAACGGGCGGCTGGGTAAACCTTGCCGGGTTCCTGCCTCGGAGGTATGGACCCACCGGCGGACTTCGCTAAACGCCGTCCACGTAGTTTGCATGTGATCTAGCAACAAGTGTTCTTCTTCTTACATGTGAAATTTATTTCCTAAGCCCTAACCATGTGAATGAGCTAGGCTATATATGGACACAACCCAAGCTTACGGGACGCCTGGCTACTTTTTAGGTTCATGGGATGCGTAACGATCTATATAGCTATGTTGGAGAGGAGATTTCGGGCGCGACTATATAAATTCGACATAGATATCCGAATAACTCTTCAAAATCTCGGAAACCACAACCATCCCATAATCAAGCCAAAAAAAAATCAGACAATATGGTACAGGGTAGGATGACGGCCTCACCGATGCACTTTTCGCCCCTGTTGCCTGCCCCAGCACGGACCAAACCCCCGGAGTCTCTGCCAGCTATATCTGTTCGCTGTACCCCTTCTATATCTCTCTCCTTATCGGACGCTACAGTAGCTAACTTTAGTCTAGGCATTTGCTGAGCCCAACGAGTTACATCATGTGAAGACCGAAAACAACCAACTACGTCACCAGAACTATCAGCTTCACCAGGACCTAAATTCCACGAAAAATGAGCTTCGCGAGTCCTATCGGAAAGCAAACCAACTTCAAAGTGCAAACGCCGGCCTTTATCAGAACCTGACGTCGAAAGAGTCTGCCTTAAATGCCGAGGTGCAGAAACGGTTGGGAGCAGAAAATGCCTTCCGCGAGGCCCATGATCGTTTGCGACGACTAGATGACATTGTTGACCTACGAGTCTTTGGAGACGCACCCGCCGGCGAAGCAGGAGACAGAAAAATGGCATTGCGCGACGTGGATAAAAAGCTTTGTGCCATAGAGCAGGTTATTCTGGAGATGGCACGGGAGGTAAAGACTATTGGTGTACGTCTTGAGAATGTAACACAAAAGTCAAACGGCGTGCGTGATGAGTACTGAAATATATCGGAGGCGAATGGCAATGGGTGTCAATCAATTGGCAGCTCACCATTACATTGTAGAATAGAATAAGTATACTGTAGCTATATACAGTACGTTGCAAATTGGCTTTCCTTACTCAGTTGCGAAATTGGCTTACCCCATAAGTACTCTGTTCCTTTTTCTCGCGTCGATGCCAAGCATTGCGGGTACAGGGAATAGTTAAATTATACTCCGTATTCTCCGACATATTTTACTGTTTCAGAAAAAGTATCATTGTTGTTACTCTTCCATAAAAATGCATGCTAGCTATATACTAGTATATCTTGGCATTACAAGCCTGAGAAACAAAGAGACTACTGTATGTGTTCTACACTCGGTCGTAAACTACTCGCTCTGTGTGTTTCATTTGCCCTGATCTCTTTCCTGGGGGATATGCAGGCTATAATAATGGTCAATAATGAAGCATAAGTATAGCATACTCATCCATATTTACTTTCTCTGGCCGTATTTATACATAAAAGTACTAGATAAAATAGCCCAGCTCATTTGTGTAGGTATGGAGATTTTGAGTACTACCAGGAAAGGCCGTCTTCACTTTCTGTAGCGCTCTCGCTTGTATACTCCCTTGTATACTCCAGGCTCCCTGTATCTTCATACTCCTCTTGACATTCACATGTCGCGATCTGACTTATCTCGTACTTGAGACTATAGTATTGCACTCTGATTTCTTCCATCTCGGTCTTTAGCTTCCGGCATTCTTCTTGCAACGCTATAGCGGAAGTCTTAAGGCCAGCTAGGTCCGCACTACTAATAATCACTGGGCTTTCAGTAGTAGGGTACGCGAGGCAGAGTGCTTTAGTCAGTAGCCGAATCTGCCTCTTCTGCTTGCACTCCACATCGCACGAAGTACAGTTCTAAGGCAGTTAGCTCAATCTGTAGAGTATTACTGTATTAGGTATGAGGTGCTCTTACTTCTTCCGAACTAGACATGAGAAAGAGTAGAGAGAGTAAAGCCCTTGTGAGTCTAAAACCAGTGTTCATGGAATAGAAATTTGGGCAACTACCCATTCAAAAGTTTTAACAGACAGCCTTTATATAAAGGCTGTCCTTTTGATCTACAGTTGAGCTTGGAATCGGCTTCCATATTCACAGTACACGAGCTGATTTTCTCGACTCTAATTCCCCAATCAGATATAACCAGCTAAATTATACTAAAAGTAAATGGTGCTATGTAAGAGCTGCCATCGCAGAGAATTACTCAAGTTCTATAAGTAATTCTGAGATACGAGATATTTGATTGATTTGATTGGTCAGGTGGGTCTGGAGCAATCTATGAGATTTCAATCTATCAAGCACTGATCATCTAAATACACGATATTGAGCTCCTATTTATGTTCCTCATACGGCCATGTATCTTGCCATCGCGGAGATGCCAGCTACAGCTGAAACAGGCGTTAAAACGCCGGGCGTAGCATTTGTTCGATGATGGAGAGCTGACACTGATATTTAATGAAACGGCGTAGTTGACTAACGTGTTTCGTACGATAAGGCAGTATTACACCGAATCTCCGTTCAACAGTAATTTCTCAAGTGAGGTTTACATAATGTGGCCCCAGGCCAGGGCTCTCTTGGCCAACTTGGAGTAGGGTTGTGATGTTGCCTTGGCTCCTAGCCTTGGCTCTCCTGAGTTAGCTAACTTGAAGTGAGGCTTACATAATGTGGCCCCAGGCCAGGGCTCTCTTGGCCAACTTGGAGTAGGGTTGTGACGTTGCCTTGGCTCCTAACCTTGGCTCTCCTGAGTTAGCTAACTTGAAGTGAGGCTTACATAATGTGGCCCCAGGCCAGGGCTCTCTTGGCCAACTTGGAGTAGGGTTGTGACGTTGCCTTGGCTCCTAGCCTTGGCTCTCCTGAGTTAGCTAACTTGAAGTGAGGCTTACATAATGTGGCCCCAGGCCAGGGCTCTCTTGGCCAACTTGGAGTAGGGTTGTGACGTTGCCTTGGCTCCTAGCCTTGGCTCTCCTGAGTTAGCTAACTTGAAGTGAGGCTTACATAATGTGGCCCCAGGCCAGGGCTCTCTTGGCCAACTTGGAGTAGGGTTGTGACGTTGCCTTGGCTTCTAGCCTTAGCTCTCTCGAGTTACCCCTGCCTGTCACCCACACGTTTTAGTCCAAACAGTATCTAATAAATAATGTCGGATATTGCATTACGTGACCTTATACGCCCCCCTGGCATATCCACTTATACACGGCTCATGTAGGGTTAGCCCTTTCCCACACACATATATAGAGGTCCAAAATGGCCTGTAGACCTAGATATCATCATCATTCATCTCTTTACGCCCATTTTGAGCTCCTGATCGTAGCGTTCTGGGTTATACGGTATTTCGTTGCTGTTCCGCTGTGTTTCGTGGAGACGCCACGCTATCCCCTGATTGGTCGCCTCTGAGAAATAACCTGAGTTGCGGCCGCTTATTAATTCAGTTTACGCTAGCGGATGTCAAGCCACCTTCTATAACCAACTTGGAGCGTCTTCTCTGAGTATCTAGGAGTAATACTTCGCTAACTTTCATGACTACGTATCTCTTACTACTGGAGCTTGCTCTACACTTCTAGCAGAGCTTGGCATGAAGGTTTGAAAAATAACGTATCTAGATGATATAGAAGGGTATCTCGGACATGACTGTACTGTACTAGATCGGCCAAGTATAACCTTTAAAACAACTACGTAACGAAGGTGGAATGCTTGTGCGATTTTGCAACATATATCTAATTAGTACTCTCTTATATATTCAGATGTCAGCTTATTCCTGGATTTATTAGTTGAACTACCATTGTTTCATGTTTATTCTTTTCCGGCATTTACAAAGAGGTTGGAAACTAAGCGGAAATGTTCTAACGAACGTCGCGGATGGAGAATCCTGTGACTAGCCGCCCTGGCACGCCAGACGAGCTTGATAGCCTTATCGAGGAGAATGGGGGGACGTCTTCCGCGCTAGAGCTCCGTTCAGACAAAATCCAGGGGGCCAAGAGAGACGGCCGAAGTAGGACAGTACTGCAGGGCAAAGCGAGACATGCCCAAGCGAACTCTCTGCAGCTTGAAAATGAGTATTTGCACAGGCGAGTGGTCGCCATAACTCGGGAGACCTCATCGTTGAGGGCAGAGATTGCCTATCTACGTGGGCACCGAAGGATCGCTGTGAAATTAATCGCCAGAAACACACACTCTGTTCTTTCCTACAAAGCCTGTTCCCGGAATATTGGACCTATGCTGAGCGAAGTTTGTGGCCTCTTTGATACTCTACACAATGCGCCATCGTTATATACTAGATCCAAAGAGGATGAGGCACTTCTGTTTCGTCAGCTTAGCGAAGCCCTTGCCGCCTGCCACCAGTCTTTGAACGATACAGATCGGTTCGCGGAGGAGATTCAGGGGACTTCAGAAGCCTTTATGAACGATACCCGCGTGCTTGAGCAGGACTGGCTGAAATGTATTGAGAATAAAATTTAGCAGCATTTGGCCTTATTTATTACAGTCGCACCAAATATCTCCTTCCCACGTTTTTCATTTGTTCTCAAACCAAGCGCATAACTATATGTGAGCTAAGCTATATGTAGATAATAGCTCCGAGTAGGCGTTTGTTGGATACGTATTGGTGGGTAAATAGGCCTTGGCGTTAGGTCTTGGTAGTCGATATGTATGACATCGCTGGCATGGAAGGGGATTTTGGGCGTAGCTGTATAGTAAGTGACGAGGCTCCAAATTCGTCTGTATGTAATTGTTCACTGTAGGTAGACATAAGGATAGGTACAGTAGTTGTAGCCTGCATATCCCCGAGGGGAGAGGTCAGGGTAAATGAGACACACACACACACACACACACACACACACACACACAGCTGTATAGTAAGCAGGTTGTGGCTTGCGAAATAAGATTGTACTAACTGTTTCAGATTCTAATACCAAAATCTATTAATCTGTATTTGGTTACTGCGGCAATAAACGTATTAACTAGTTTTTTTTCGAAGATTGAGTTCCTGGTTATCTATACAGTAGCTCATTCATGTGGTTAGAGTTGGGAAATGATTATTAGATTTCGTGTGTGACTGGGGTTTGTTCCACAAATTCGGCTGCCTTTATATTACTCTCCCTTTTTCCTCAAGTATAGAAGAATTTACTAAATATCCACTAACCAAGCGAAGTTTTATCGGGAAATTATGGGTAATCCACGAAGAACAAACCAGAAAAATCGACTCACAGTATTTCCAACGCCGCCTGTAAGGCAAGCGAAGAACTCAATCACACGTGCGGCACCAAAAAATCCGAGCATACCTCAGTTCTTCGAAGATATATGGATACACTATGGGTACGAAGCGCAATTGCGCGCAGGCGGGATCTTGGCTTCCGCCAATAAGCCGTCCCAGGCAATGGTGTTTATCCAGGAGTTACACGGCCCCAAAGAGACAATGGCCCAGCTTAAGCCTCTCGAGCACCGGAATATTGTCCGGCTCTATTGTGCGTACTGGGCGTCCGGTTCAATTTATCTAGTGAGCGAGCCAAGCGTCATATCGCTGCGCCAGATCATGATGTTTAGGCCATCTTGGGGACTTGAGGAGACGGCTGCGCTTAGTAGGGGTGTACTAGATGGTCTTATGTTTGTCCACAATTCTCTTGAAATAGCACACGGATCGCTCTCAACTGATAATATCATGCTTACATGGGAAGGGGGAGTGAAGCTAGGTAAGCATTTTTGCTTGATGCACCAGACGACTTGCTAACTTGTACTACCCCAGCAAATATAGGCAGCAGTATTATTGACGGAAAGGGCCGAGAGCATAGTAGCGGTGATCTCCGCTCTCTTGCCCGTATCATACAGAATATCACGGAACCTGCCTCCCTTCTTGACGAGGAACCAAGACTTGCTTTAAAGCATCCCACTGGCACGGATTTGGACGACTTCTTTGCCCAGCTTTTGACTGTGAAGCACGTGTCAGATATTATCGAGGTTAGTTGTCCCGCATTTAAATTCTGTCTATATACCAACAAATATATAGCACAACTTCGTTAAGCAAGCGCAAGGGTCAGACGGGCTCACCCGCTGTGTCTGGAAGTGGTGGGCGGCAATGTGTTATTAACGCCTTGTTGCATCGAGCTCTCGACCTCCACAATGTGTACCTCGCTGCCTTTGAAAGCAAGACTGGCTGTTATTCTTGGAAACATTGTTATAGGAGTTATACTGATTGGCCTTGTCGTCGCGTTTATTTCCTATACCGTTAGCAGAAAGAGAATACAATCTCGAGTACGGCCTCCAGATGTCGCTCACGGTAATACCTTCCGCTCTCGCTTCTCTAGTTGGTATACCGCGTAGCCACCCTGTACGTAACCTCATCCCATAAGTAACGTTATTTGGGTACATTTATTATAGAGCCTTATGGCCTCCTGTGGGCCATTTAGTGAGGTAGAAGAACGTTATTTACCTCAATAAACTGCTGCGGACAAAAGTACGGGCGAAAATACTTGGAGGATAAGCCGATTTTTGCAGCACACTGTAATAACTATATAGTTTATAGGATTGAATGGTTATTAAGCGAGCCAAGGTTTTGAACTCCGGTTTATTATTGGTGGGACACGCCTCTCATCGTCAACCACGGCCACACCGGCTCCTGCCTCAGCAGAGTGATGATGGCATGGGAGCTCAACCGCAGTCCTATCAGCCACAGCCTGCACACCATGATAATGATGATCCACCCGAATACGGATGGTCGTCTGCAATTTTCTTCGGCACCTGGTGCATATCTTGGGATATAGTGGTAGCGATTCTGGATTTGTGGCAAGCTGAGTGTGATATTGAGTGGATCGGCTTCTATAGCATAGACAGCAGGTGCTGCTAGCTACGGGACCACATTGTTCAATTTGCATTAGGCATCGTTGAAGTCTTTCTCATTAGCACAAATCAGTACTGTATGACTAACGGTAACTAACCTTGCTGCCAAACGTGACGTGAACGATTCCCTTAAAGGCATCTTAGAATTTCTATTCCTATAAGTGAGGTGCTTAATGGTGGCTACTGGAGCGGTGAACGGTTTATTATAAGCCCTAGTGACATATTCGTAAATCTAGCAGCCTGTGACGGATACTCCACGTTAAGGGGTATATCAGTGTGTGTGTGTGTGTGTGTGTTTTTCAATTACCCTGACCTCTCCCCTGGGGGATATGCCGGCTACAACTACTGTACCTATCCTTGTCTAGTCTACATTGGCCGATTACATGCAGACGAATTTGGAGCCTCGTCACGGCCTATGACGTTATCCTTGCTGTGGGTATATCAGTGGAATTCAAAATCGGCTTCCATATCCAGAATTGGCATTTAGAGTTTGAGAAAAGATCTTTCATGCAAATCATGGAAGCCAATTTCGAGCTCCATTGTACGTAGCCGGAACTTCCACGGTCATCTTGTTCTTTGCAGATGACAGGGAAGCGCCAAGGGAGCTCTACTTGCTGGGCACTCGCTTTAGCCTAGCTAGGTACAAGCCCAAGCCAAGGTCAACCCGGCATGGAGTTCTATAGAAATGGACAGAAAAGGACACAAGGACGGAACAAACGTAGGCCCCCAAAACGAGGCTCTAATTTCGTCTGCATGTAATAGAACACCATAGATTAGACATAAGGGTAGAGATAGTTGTGGTAGCCTGCATATCCCCCAGGGGAGAGGTCAGGGTAAATGAAACACACACACACACACACACACACACACATTGTACGTAGCTAGCAATTCTACAGTCGCACCCGATTTCTCCTTCCACGTTTTACATGTCAAGGTTGTTTCCCAGACCCTAGTCACATGAATGAGCTAGGCTATATATGGACAGTAACTCAATATACGGGAAGCTTACTCGTACGTTCATGGCCGCAGTAACCAAATACGGATTAGTAGACCTTGGCATTAGGGTTTGGGAAACAACCTATATATGTATGACATGAAAGGAGATTTCGGGCGCGACTGTATTGAATGATCAAAGCAGATGTTTAGCTGGCGTATAACCCTGACTCCAATACTCCTTGTTGTTCGTTTAAAGCTTATACCCAGCTGATCTAATATATTAAGTTAGAATGTGGGATATTTCATACGTCGATCACGAACGCGTATTTACAGTACAGGGCTGATACTTAGTCAGAGTAATCTACACAAAGGTAGCATTTTATATATGAAACTTGACCATGAGATTGATTATAGCCGAACCGGATGTACACTAGTTTGTTTCGACAAAGAGTGTTGAAGTGTCAGTGATTTTGCAACTGGATTAGCATGAGAATTCCTCACACGAATATAGAAATATTTAAAGATAGATACATTCCTTTTTATGCGTTCCCATCGACTATAGCAACCAGAAGAAACGCAATACCGTTATAGATGCGGGCTAAACCGTTCAGGAAGGCTATCTTTGCCTTCCATACAAATGGCCATATTGTATTAAATGGTTTTCCAGGTAGCAGTCCAGGTCAGCCTCTTCATTTTCTACGTTGAGTCGTTTCTAATGTCTATTAGAGAACCCGATTATAATTGAAGACGACAAGCCAGCAGTTGTTCCACAGAACCCGGTCACACAAGGTACGAACCGCGAATTCGAATGCAACATTTGCTTGGATCGCTACATCGAGATGACCTTTCTCTGCGGCCACGGCCTATGTCTATCCTGCCTCAATCAGTATATAACCGAAGCGACAAACGCAACATTCGTTGGTATATATATTACTACGCGGTGTCCGGTCTGTAACAGGCAGGTGTTGGGTAGGGATTGGAACGAGCTCCCGGGTGACCCACAGGGCTTTATCGCAGTGAAAACCAGTCGTTCGAAGGACGATATATATGATTATAGAATCGAAGGTGTGCGTTTATATGGCGGGTAATGGTAAAAGTATACAATAGTCACACTTGAACTTTCCTTCCCTTATCTCTCAAGGTTAATCGCGTTGATGAATCACAGTACAGTCTGTGTGTTTTTCATTTACCCTGACCTCTCCCCTGGGGGATATGCAGGCTTCACAGTACAGTCTGTTGCAGAATCAGCTTGACACTCCTACACTCTTTGCTCTTTGTTTAAAGCTTATGCCGAGGCAAACTATAGCGAGAATGGAGGATATATACGTCGATCATAAATGTGTATACCTAGATAGGAAAATTCAACGCAAAGGCTGCTTCTATTATGTGAACCTCGGTCATATGATGCTTAGTCTAAGCATGAGGATGGACGGGTCAAACCCGCGGGTTTTTGGGCGGGTCATGACCCGATCCGCAACGGGTTGGCCCATTTGGCTAACGGGTAGTCCACGAGCGGGCATAGGGGCCCCTAACGGGCCGCGGGCTAACCCGCAAGGCCCGCCAAGACTCTATCTACAAAATATTTTTTTAATTTATTTTTTATTAATTTTTAGAGGCTTCTAATAGGCGTATTTAGTCTAAGTGCGCACTTAAAATTTGGTCAAAACCTTACCCTATTATTTAAAAATTTGATATAAAAAACAAAAAAATAGCTTAGTTATTATTTAAGGTTCTATCTTCTTAATTAGGTAATAATCTTCCGAAATATAGGGTTGTGATATACAGTCACACCTCTCCGGCTATCCACACACCTCTCCGGATATTCTCACACCCCTTAGTCACCTTAATAGGTATAGCGTCACGGAAAACTAGGTAGTTAGTTAAAAGGAAGCCCCTAAGAGGATTCTTTAGTTAAAGACACTACCCTCTAAGCTATCCCTAAGCTGCCCCTTAAGCCTTTCTTTAGGCTTCCCTAGGCCTACTCTTAGGCCTCCCCTTTTACCTCTTAGTCTTTTATTTAGGCCTACCCTTAAGTGTGCCTTTAAGCCTACCCGTTAGACCTTAAGGCTCGCTTTTTATACTTACTCTCTAGACCTACTCTCTAGGCTCGCTCTCTAGGCTCGCCCTTTAGGCTTACTAAGTATTTACTTAAGGGGTTACCTTTATTTTCTATGACGCTATACCTATCAAGGTAACTAGGGGGTGTGAGAATACCCGGAGAGGTGTGTGGATAGCCGGAGAGGTGTGACTGTATCGCAGCCCTAAATATATTAATTATTAAGTATTATTATGCCCACGGGCCGCCCGCGGGCGGATTTTAAAAGGAGGCTTGGGTTTTAGTCAGCCCATGGTGCGCTCGGGTTAGTCCGTGCTTGTCCATCCGCATGTCTATGCTTGAATACCGTACCATACGTAAATGAGATTATTACACACTAACTACATGTACGGCGGACTATAGGGAGCATGTGTTCAAATTTCGTTTTGACCGCGTATCTGTTTAGTGCCACGTCGCCAATCATATTATTATCATTGGAGCATTAGCCAATGATGTCGTGGAAAATATTAGTAATAGCGTATTATATAAACTATAATAACTAAGATATTAGTAATAAAGCCACTTATTAAGATATCGGAAACTGCCTAGTAATTACACTTATATAAGCAATAAATTACTATATTAGGCTTAATATCATATTTCATAATCATTACCTGATATGATGAGTCATTAAGGAATATCGGATATATATTATTCCGGGGAGGCATAAGACCCACCATTAGGCTCTGCCAGATGCTCAATATCAGGCCAATTTGATGCTGATACCCAACATGATATCGGGCCGGGTGGGTGCTGGATATCAGGCTCGGTTTGGTGTTCGATATCAAGCATCAGATTGACCTGACATTGAACATTAAATTGAGCATTAAATTAGCCTAATATCGAACACCGAACCTAGCATCAAATTGGATATTAGGCTGGATATCAGCATCAAATTGGCCCGATATCAGACCGGATATCGAACACCAAATTGGTCTGATATGGAGCCTGATATCCAGCACCCACCTGGCCTGATATCAAGCTGGATATCGAGCATTAAGCTGAGCGCTGGCCAAATATAGTCACGTGCCTCCCGGATAATAGATAGTCCATATCCTTCCTGCATTTCTAGCCAATTATAATGGGTTAATGTATTACTAATTTAATTACCTGACTAAGCAGGGCCCTTTCTACGTGCCAATATGTAAGGTTGTAAAAGATACGAATTTAGAACACATGCTTCCTATAGTCCGCCGTAACATGTAAACTAGTGGGTTTCA